TGTTTGTGCCTAAAAGAAATCAAATTTGAATTTCAAAATTCATATAAATCATGATAAGGATTTCCTATAATTTTTTTAAATATATATATATATATTTATATATATATGATTTAGGATTATCACGGAACCAAACACTTATCCCCTAACAATACTACTCTAGAACATAAAAAACAAAGTGTAAAGACTTCATGTCCAAATCCATTCCTCATCATTAAAAAAAAAAAAAAAGAATCTCCAAATTCCCATTATGTTGGTCCAATTTGCAACACTTGTTTTTTATGAGGATCAAACCCAATTTTTATATTGAAAATTTTGAATACAAAATCTTTTATAAAATTTGTTGTCACTTTATTGCTTCATCATTATTTTGTTGATTGTCATATTTCTTTTAAAATTTTTAACTAACTCAAAATGTATAAATTTTTTCACAATTTGCTTACAATATTTTAAAATGTGAATAATATATGCACTCTCTTGTCATCTTTTAAACCTTATACACATAATTTTAATTAATATTTTTATATATAGCATATAAATATACATAAAATTGTATGAGGGAATATAAAATGAAGTGGCGGATCTGGGAATAATGAATGATGATGAAAACAGGGATTTAGTTTCGTGGAATGAAAGGAAAAGCAGAGGGCCACGCTTTTGTTTTGGCTTGTAGTCGTAGGTTTTACAGCTGCACATTTGGACTTTATCATCGATTTAAATGTGTCAATTTTAGTTTGCTTTCATTTTCATCTTGTTCTTTTTATTTTATGGTTGTTCAAAAGAAAAATCTTGCTCTTTTTAGTACTCAATTTTGTTTTGACCAATAAAATATATTTTGGAGTCTTACGAGTTAAGAGCCATCAAACATTGTTTAAATTATCTTTTCTTTTGTATCACTTTGCTTAGTTTATTAATTTAAGCCCTAATATTTGGTTAAAACCAACTTTAGCCCCTCATCTTACAAAATTGATAAGTTTTAACCCTTAACCTTATAATATGACACTTTTAACCCTTTATCTTACAAAGTTGGTAGGTTTTAACTCATCACCTTATAAAATTAGTAGGTTTTAGCCCCTCACCTTATGTTATGACACTTTTAACTTCTTATTTGTACGAATTAAAGAAAATAACCATTTATTTAACATTAAATTATAATGTTCTATTAATTCTGTTAACTGACTGTCAGTTTTGTTAGTTGACTGTTAGTATCCGTTAGCATTCCGTTAATAGAACTAACAAATAAAATTGAATTTAAACTTCATGTTTTTTATAATAGAATGCTAACGGATATTAATAGTCAACTAATAGAACTAACAAAACATTATAATCTGATGTTAAGTGAGAACTATTTTCTTTAATTCATATTGGTGAGGGGCTAAACATATCATAATATAAAGTAAAGGGTTAAAACCTACCAAATTTGTAAGGTGGGAGGTTAAAACTTACCAATTTTGTAAGATAAAGGGCTAAAACTATCATATTATAAGATGAGAGGTTAAAACTTATCAATTTTGTAAGGTAAGGGGCTAAATTGTTGGTTTTTGCCTAATAATTTAGTCAAGTCAATTTGCAACTCAGCTAGCATTAACAACTTGTAACCAATCACAATTAATCTCAATTTGATAATATCATGTAAGTTTTCACTTCGGAACTTAAACATTAAATGAGACAACTTCCTAATATTAGGGGTTATATTCTCATTTTATCATTTTTATTTTATAGTCTAAGTTATAAAATAAAAAATTGTTAACTTAAATAAGTTTGTCTTTAACCATCTCAATGAATCAATTATTTACTATATAGATATACGTGTGACTTTTTGGTCTCTCAGCCCTAATCCCCAAAAATTTCTAGAAAATGCCCAAAATTGAGTATTAGTTAGAGGTTGGCCGAAAAAATGGGTATTTGATAGAAGAAAGAAAATCAAGGTTTAAGGAAAATGAATGAAATGAAAAAATATAGACATATTTGTGGGCTTTCCCTTCCCTTCTATTGGCTCCATTTTCCTCCTATCAAAAATAACCTAAAAGAAACACATGCGCAATCACAATCACTGAAGTCACGTATCCTCATCAAAGTAAAAGGAAGAAATTAACGTCTCAAAAAAGAAAAAAAATCGAAGTAAAAATAGAAACAGAACGTGTGAAATTTAACAACAATTACTTTGTTTGAACCCTTTATTTTTTATTTTATTCAATCAAGTCCTTCCCTAACAGTTGAATGCATCTTCAAACTGAGCAGAGAACCGATCATCGGCATTCATTCCTCTCTATCGACCAGTCAAACGCGGCACTGGCGCAATGAAAAACTTCATCATACCATTCTCGCTGTCGTCACCCTCTCCGGAAGCAACGTAGCACGGCCTCTCTTGGTTTATCACCACCGCAAAGCCCTCCCCTTTTCCCTGCGTCGGATTTGCTAATAGCCCGCTTGACTGAAGTCGCAGGTCATATATCTGAACAGATTCCGCAGCAAGTAAACATTGTACTGTGTTCATACTGGAACACTGCACCCACATTCACCAAAACAACTGAAGATTCAAGAACAAACAAATTTGGTATAAACTCAATTAGGATTTTGGGGCACAATTAATGCAAGACCTAGAGTGTCCTGTATGTAGAAGGGGCTATTCTTAATTGCCCAATCGGTGTAATTGAAGCCGTAGCGCCAGTGTTGGGGTCCTCCGAAGGTTACAGTGCTGCCCTGAGTTACTGCTAACAGAGAAGCAATTACCAGGAGGATGATCCCCGGATTAGTACTGCAGCTCATGGGAGCCATTTTTTTTAATAGGAAATTGCTCTAGTCTTGAGATGATGGCAATGGTGTAACGATGTGGGGTTTATATAGGAGCAGAGAGTTGAATTCCTTTCAAATTTGACAATTAGTTTGTAGTACGGAGGGGATGAAACGGCGGTCATTTTCTTGTTTGACAAAAACGGTAGTGGTAACCGGCAGTTGGGTGGGATGACTATTTTTGACGAAGAATAAAAGGGTTGTGTTATGATTGCGTAGGTATTAATGTCATAAAAATACAACTGAAACTGAGTTAGTGGAGGGGTTAAAGTCATCCCTATGCGGCTGTGTCCGATGGTCAACCGACGGCGGTTTTTTTTTCTTCCTTCTTTGTACTGCGATAGAAAAAAGATGGACATCCCGCCAGTTTCAAGAAGAGAGAAGACTTCTGGTTTTTATTGTGTTTCTTTCTTCGGTTGGGTCACAAGGGCCAAAAGTGATTTTGGATTGGTTCAACCCAGTAAACTACGGCCCAACCCAATGGAGACGCAACGACGTCGTGTCATTCTCTAACATCGTCAAGAAATAGTGATTTTGGGTTTCTGGATTTATGAACCCTAAACCATGATCGCAGCCTAATAAACCAAGTTTCAGAATTTCAGATACCAAAAATAGGCCAAAACGTTTTCTTTTTCATTTTTCAGGATAAAAGGAGAGCCTAAACCACAAAAGAGTGGCACTGGCAATGGCAAACAATGGCTACATGACACGATCTACCACAACCTTCTTTATTTTTTTTATCCAAAGTTAAAACACTTTGCCGCAAAGAAAGCTGTTAAGTACAAAAGACCCATTTCAATTATCAAACGTTGGCAGCCGCGGGTTGGGGAGTTTTCTCTTCCTGTTTGACCTCTTACTGCGATTGCGGCGGTGCGGATGCCTGAACCTGAAGGGAGACACCACTAGAAGCATCGGCCGTCCTTTCTGGAGGTGGAATGATCCTACCATCGATGCAAGAAGCGCATTTTGTTTCTATCCAGCTCTCAATGTCGTACTGCCCGTACCCGGTCATGATTTTCTTCCCCGTGCACAACCTCCCAATCATCACAGCAACTATGCCCAAGATTATAATCACCACAAGCACAGCAATAAACGGACCGATTGAAGCATGATCGGAGTGAGAAATGTAAGACTGCTGCACCACCGTAACTGGCGGCCGCGGTGGTTGGACCAACGGTATTGACATATTAGCACCAACCAAGAAAGCAGAGCAACACTAGCTACTATGTTTGAAATCCTTGAAATGGAGACTCAGGAGACAGAACACAAAGACTTCATGCATTATTATTAAGCAGCGGAACCCAATGAAGCTGTAAAAAGGACGAAAAGGAAAAAGGGACGAGAGCAATCAGAATTCAGAAAAGTTCGTGGGAATCTAATCTAAAGGATCTAAAACTTTTCATGGGGAAGCATTTTTCAAAGACTGTCCACCGGTTTTGCAGTACTTTACAGGTGCTGTAAGAAACTAAATGGAAAACCTCAAAAATATATATATAATAACTTCGAAGTTATATATTAATTAACTCGAATAGCAGCGCGATCGTTCTTTTCTTTTCTAAATCTCCTTGGCCAAAGGATAGGTTCTAACTCGCGTGACGATGAAAAGAAGATTAAAACATTAACAATAGACATTAAACCTTAACAATATATATAATAACTCAGGAGTTATATTAACTCGCGTGGCAATGAGATAATTTTTTTTTTCTTCTTCAAATCTCTTGCCAATTAGAAGTTAAGTTCTAAATTGCTTGGCAATGAAGACAAGATTAGAACATTAATTTATTAATGGACATCAACCCCACAATATGTATTGCGATAATTAGTCCATTGTGAAGATCATATAATGAATAAACATGTTAAAATCAGCAAATTGTGACCTATATATTATATAATTCAAATTTAAAATCTATCATTTTTATAAAAAAATTACTTTCAAGTTACTTAAATTGTTATCAAGAGTCTTTGCAGCCCTACCTTCATCTACCAGCCACCACCCGAACTAGGCTCAAGTCTCTGGCTTTCAATTTGTTGTGAAGACAACGACGGCAGGAAGAGCTACCAAAGTACGCTTCTCACAATTTTTTTTTTTTTTTTTTTAATGGAAGGAAATTAATACATATTAAGTAAATGGAAATTAAGAAAAGGATCTATGGGGCTGAATACGCAACCTATAGAAGATGATGCGCACTAACACAGTGTCAAAGCCATTAGATTGGAGCATGGGGATTAAGTACACTTCTCACAAATTTAAGGTTTGTTT